TAAACCCTTAAACCCTCAACCTAAAGCGAGTAAGCATCAGGTAGTCGCGATGGCTGGTGGTCCGACAGCTGTCCCCCAGCTGAAAGATGGTTACAGCCAGAGCCTGGTCCGGCACTGGTTTAGCATTTAGGGTTGAAGGTTTAACGTTTTAGGGTTTAGGGTTTAGGCCGATTCTAGCTTTATGTTCCCTTTTGGGTTCTAGAAAAAATGTATGGCAATTTATGTGTATATGTATATACACCTCATCGGGTTTTAGTACAACATTGTTGTTCATGTTCTGTATCGAGTTCTAGTATACAGCAATATCCAACATGATATTCAACCATGGCCCTAAACCTCAAACCCTAAACTGACATGATACTCAACCATGCCCCTAAAACCTAAACCCTAAACCCCGAAAAAAAAATGACCCTCAACCATAAACCCTAAACCCACATTATATTCAACCATGACCCTAAACCCTCAACCCTAAACCCAAATGATGTTCAACCATGACCCTGAACCCTAAACCCAAACGATATTCAACCGTGGCCCAGATGCGCAAAGAAGTCGCACCACCCAGGCAGCTGCGTGCGGACTGGCCTCGACGAAGCTGGCCAGAAAGAAAAGTGGAATGGTACCATAGGCAGCTGGCCTATACCTCAGCAGGGTCTAGTGTTTTGGGCTTAAGCTTTAGGGTTTAAGGTTTAAGGTTTAGGGTTTAGGGTTTAATGAAGGTGTAGGGTTTAGGGTTTGCCTCACCCTATGCCCGGAACCCCAATGAAATCATGTTTAGGGTATAGGGTTTAGGGGTTGCACTCCAGTATTTTATCATCATTTGGTCCCTTACCCTAGATTGAAAACAACAAGGCGAGGGCACATCAATTTGGACATCCCCTGTCCCTGTATATGGTAGTTTTCATGTCATCTTCCATTTGATTCCCCACTTGATCCTCGATAATTTGCCTAAACCCTAAACCCTAAATCCTAAACCCTAACCCCTAAACCCTAAACCCTAAACCCTACAATGCTCAGGCACACCCATTTGGACACAAGGCCCAGGAAGATGTTCCGAGGCATCCAGGACGGCTGCAGCGCAGTGTTTGCCAAGCCCTCGCTCAACTGAAAGAAGTCGACCCCACTACCTGCCTTAACAGCCAGCCATAGAGCCAGTAGCCTCAGGTTAGGGTTTGGGTTTAGGGTTTAGGGTTTAGGGTTTTGCTTACCCGTTCCAAATGCCCTTGCATTGGCTGTGTAGCCTCATTAGACACAGCAGGATGTGAGGCTAGATGATGTGTTACTGTTACTATTACTATTAGTATTGTAACTCGTATTACATGTATTGCTGTTATGCGAAAGTTCTGTAGGAAGTAGCTGGAACTTACCTCCAGAGATCCCATTCTGGGAATCCATGCGACCTTCATAAGACCCAAGGTTGAAATTGCTTGAAACCCAAAGGCAATGGGCTTCAGGCATCCCCAAATAGATAGGATTTACTGCAGTCATATAAGGATTGAATTATGCCCGCTAATCTGGCTCTCAAAAATACTGTAACATATTTTTTGCACTAGGAGCCTCTCAGCACAACGCATGCGGGAAGACAAGTTCTTTTGCCGACCGGGCCGCTTTCTTAAGACTCCTTCACCCATCATGAACCTGAAGTCACAAGAAACGCTGCAGAACTGGCTGACGAGTTTCCCTCAAGCTAATGCATTTCCGGATAGAGGACCACCCCAGCAGTAAGCTCGCCCTGAAAAGGAGTGAAGGAGCTTCATGCCCCAGAGATGCGAACAAGGAGCGTGGAAGCTTGCAAGAAGTAGAAGGCACACACCGGCTGACGTTGGAGCGTAGCAAAAGGCTCGGAAGCCATCGCTGAGTGCATGGCAAACATGATGATCCCTAACTGTTGCTTCTGGCATCGATGCTTTCAACAGATGATCATGACCACTGACCACTGTAATTACGGCTGGAACTAAGACTCATTTTCCTGAATTGTGGATGTTTCACACTCGCGGTACTGAATGGTCCTGAGTACATAGAATAGTCCACACAACAACTTCTACGTTAAGATGTATTATGCATCTGTGCCATCAAAATGGAAACGCTCCACAAGCTGGAGACATCAAACAAGGAATGCGTAATCTTAAGAAACCCTTTTGTCTCTCGAAAATCGCGCCCTGGCGCCAAGAGCCAGAAGCGAACATAGAAGCTAGGATGTGTACGCACGCCCCTCCCCCCCCCCCGCCCAACAGGACAACCTGTACATCAAATTTCCTCAGGAAGCCTTCATACACTCACCCAAACCGAAAAGAGAAAGAGGCTCCTCATACGCTGTGGGCAGACAACTATGTAGCCATGGAATACCCTGTTATACTATAGTAGTTTCCATCTTATCTTGCATTATCGCTATATAACTCTTAATGTACTATAATGTACTATAATATGCCTATAGTTTGTTATTATGTCGTACGGATGTTGCAAGAAGTTGCAGCTTAGTGTGGGCTCCTACCTACCAAAATTGAACCGTCCGGTACGACAAAAATTGCCCTCCTACTTCTGGTTGTCCTTAGGCTTCCAAAAGTCTAATACCTAGTTGCTGAGTTCCCTGGCCCCAAAAAGGTTAACCTTTGTATTATGGTAGGACTATATATACCTTAAAAGGTTAAAGGTTACCTACCCAGCTAGTAAGAATAATTACAACCCCCTTGCCGCAACGCTCAGGCGCAGCGCGGGAAAATGCGAGGAGAAAGGGGGGGTAAGGCGCGGGCGGCGACTGAGGCAGCGCAAAAAAAAGTGAAAAAGGAAAGGTCTAAGAAGTTTCGCCGAAGCAAGACTTTGGTCAGCGCGTGCCATGATTCTTCCACGTGGCGCTGCCATGTTTCCAAATGATACAGGGTCTACTGTATCTGTTTCTAGCTTCAAGTACGCAACTATCTACATGTTTCCTGGTACCCTTGAATCCTTAAACCTGTCTCAGCGGGGCGAGAGCCACAGCTCCTGTTCTTACTGGTGGCTGGTAGCAATGCATCTGGCTTATAGGGAGCATTAGGGGCACTTACGTGAGGACTGCTTTGCGTATCCTTCGCCCGATTCACGACTTACCACCAGAAACCCTTACTCCAACACCTTTAACCCCACAACAGCCTCCAATTTCTTCCCATTTCCTAAAACCCTCACAAATTTCTAAATTGGCTCGCTGCTGTTCACTCAACTCCCCTGGGCCTCCAGGAGATCTGCATGAAGAAGCTGGCCTAGATACGAGGGTTCATGGTGGGGGTCCTAGGGATTTAGAGTTTGGCAGGGCTGGGGATGTAGTCTGAGGGGTTTTGGGATTTACCATAGGGTTGGTGCTGTGTGCTGAGGTTTACAATTGCGGCTTGCGTGCTCGTGTCAACTCTTCAGGCGGCGTGCGGCTCACCGTCAGAGGCCTGGACCCAGTGAGATGTCCATGTATACATGGTAAACTCTGAGCTTCTGGTCCCTCCACATGGACACCCCAATCACCAGAATTGCTAGAAGCCTGGTGTTAAAACCTTGAATCGGGATGTCGATGTTCTGGGATTGCCCACATGCCCTGTTGCACCTGCGTGTCACAGAACTACTCAGAAACTTTGTTCATGATCGGCTCCCGCTACTAGCCCAGCTGCGTCTTTTTCCTCCCCTGTCCTGCCACTGATACGTCCTGCTGGTAGTAGTATTCATGCTCCTACTCCACATCGTGCTTCAACTACAAACACGACTGTCCGTATTCATACTCGGTCAACTACTGATGTCAGAACTACCGATACCAATGTATCATCAGTTCCCCTCGTTCTTGCTGGTTCTTAGTAGGGAATGAAGAAACGGAAAAGAAAATGGAATTCCACAATGTAACTTATCATAACCGTTTGAATGCCTATGTAACCACCCCACACAACCCTCGCAAAACCCTATACAACGCTAAACCCTAAACCCCCCAAATCCCACAAAACCACAAAAACTAGAAACCCCAACCCCTAAACCCAAAAAATGCCCTAACCCTACCCCCATGAGAGCCGTAGTCTAAGCTCCTAGTAACCATCGTAGTAGCACTTGTAGCAGTCCCCTATATAATCACGTATATAACCCCCTCCAAGGAGTTTAGACCCTAACCCCTAAGCCCCCTAAACCCTAAACCCTAAAAAATCCCCTACACAACCCTCCTTTAAGGAGTTTAGCCTACAGCTCATATAACCCTTACTAGGGTTATAATCCCTTATATAACCCCCTTTGCATGGGCTTAAACCCTTAAACCCTCTAATATATAATCCGTAAACCCTACACCCTACACCCTAAACCCTGAACCCTAAATGTAGCATTTCTGGGCCTTGGCGCGTGCAGCCTGGGGCCAGCAGTGCCCTCAGATGGTCCCGCGCCCCACGCAGGGACCAGCTCGGGTGCTCCTTTTGTAGGGTGGAGGGGTTTAGGGTGCAGGGGTTTTGGGGCTTAGGGCTTAAGAGTTCAGGGTTTAGGGGTTTTGGGCTTAGGGATTCAGGATTTAGGGCCGATTTTGAGTTGAAAAGGGTGTGCCCCGTAGGTCCCTTTAAAGTAAGTTATAGAAATGTATGGGGTTCAGGGTTTGGAGGCTCCTTTGTGATTCCTGGGGTTGCTAAGGGTGGAGAATCTGCGACTTGGTGGATGAGTCGATGTGTTTCTTCGAGCAAACGGAGAGGGGCCCAAGATGATATGAGCCACAGTCAATATTTACTACACAATTTAATGGCCATGGGTTCTTTGTTGGGGACTATATATTCTGGATTATACCAGACTACAAGAGGGACCCTCTATGTCTACTGTTAAAGGGCCCTTGATAATGCTAATGCTGACTGTAACGCATATCGCCCCAGCAATGCATGCATGGCCCAAGTGATGATGCTACGCGTAGGTATGCCGCAAGGCACAATAGGGGATGAGGCAATGGATCCTTGCAGCATCTAAACCCTGAATCCTAAAACCTAAAATCTATTCCCGAATCCATTCCCACATTCCCTAGTAAGCACGAAAGAGCTTACTCATTTCATCAGCACTTCTCTTCAGCTGCAGTGCGCTTTGTAAGGTGAATGCTGGACCGAATCTCTTTCCATTGAAAATCGGGTTGGCGCCTATCAATTGTGCGTTCCCCGAAAGGTGTGATTTTGGATCTCATGATCCCTTTTGCATAGATTTAGTCCGACATGAACATGACAATACTATTATCACTATTCTTACCATTGTTACTGTTTGCTGTGGGGAGTTGTCATGACTCAGGACGTATCGAGGGGCTTTGCGCTTCGTGCTCGAAAACTCCGAGATTGTGTAGGACACCCTCTTCTTTAAGACATACGCACAACGCATGCGGGGGTTTAGGGATTAGGGCTTAGGGATCACAACTCCCTACAAAATTCCCTGCCGCCTCGCAGATGCGCAAATACTTGAGGCAGAACCTGCGAAGAATGGGCTCAACTTTAAACCCTATAGTAGTTTCCATTTTCTTTTCCATTATCCCCATATAACCCCAATATAACCCTAATATATCCCCCTACACCCTAAACCCTAAACCCCTAAATGGTCTGAGTGTGTAAGAGTCCTTCTGCGTCGTGGTTTCCTGAACATCGAGACCCAGAGGCATCATTTGCTTTTCAACAGCACACTGCTTGGAGCCTTTCAATACTGATTGCCGAGGCTTGAGGGCCAGCGCTAGAGCTTCGCATGAGATTGCTTACCGGCTCTTCGTAAGCAAAATGGGAAAATCTGACGTAGGGATTACATAGGGATTATATTCCCTTATTCCCTAAGAAGAACCAGAAAGATTGAGGCTTGGACCTATCAATTTGGTGGTTTCCAAAAATCAGGAGAACCCCTTCTTAGACCCTAAAATGCTATGATCTTGCTTAGAGGGAACCGCAAAAGGTACCCGGAATGTTGGGAAACTCCCATTTGTATTCAAAGTTTGTCTTTGGCACTTAGGTTGCCCTGGCGCCCTACTGTACCAAGGCATGAGTCCAACAAGGCCTCCATAAGCACACATAGGCCACTGGCATGCTGAGCACCCTGAACCCTAGACCCCTTACACCCTAGACCCACTAAACCCTAAACCCCTAAACAACACATCCAACAAGGATGAAAGCAGAAGCACAAAGTCTTCAACAGCGCCCACGAAGAGCATCATAAGTTATGTTGCCCCTGACCAAAAGCCACCCTGCCTAAAAGCCCTAAAGAAGGGTGACTACAAATCCGAGTATACAGATGCAACTACTAGGAGCATGCATTGATCCCTGATCTGCGGCTCTCCACTTGGATGGCCAGGGAAATTATCACCCAATCCCAAGTGTAGCTAAAACGCGACGATCACCATACTCAGGGGGAGTCAAGAATGGGTGTCCGCTACAACTAGGAATTGGGTTGGAAATATTCGGGCCTCCAAGTTCAAACCTAGACCCTGAACCCTCAGTTTCCATTTCATGTTCCATCTCACGCTCCATTTCATTCTCCGTTAGAATCCAACCCTCGATACCACTATACACCCCCATATAACCGCTGTAGACTTCTATAACCCCTACACAACTCTTACTTACCTCCATATAACTCCTCTATACCCCTAAAACCTAAACCCCTTAACCCTAAACCCCCAAAGCCTAACCCGTATGATTGAACTGCAGGCCTGATTCCCTGCCGAAGAGCCGGCTGTTCTTCTCGGCTCCTCAGTCTGGACAAGTCCAATGAGACTTGGACCATATGAGCTATAGTCTAAACTCCTAGTATCCCTCTCAATAACCCCTATAATACTCTCCAAATAATCCTCCCTATAACCCCTTTAAAGGAGTTTAGACTACAGCTCATATGAATTTAAGGATATTACCACTCAATGCCTGT